GCATGTCCTGTTGTGCTACTTGTGATTGGAAAGAGTTATTATTTTTGCGTTCAGGTTGATAATGTCGTTTTAAATGCTAGATTCAAATGGATGCTGGAATTATTTATGAAGAATCGCAAAATGTTGCCCGAGGAAATTGTGATTACTCGTGATGGGGTTTCAGAGGGGCAATACAGAATGGTGGGTTATGAAAGCATCACAGTTTGTTAAGGTATTAATTTGCATTTCTTTATATAGGTGATTGAAGACGAATTGGACGCTATAAAGGAAGCATGTGAAGAATTTGGTAACTTGCATAATCAAGAATCATGGAAACCTCGTTTCACTTTAGTGATAACGACGAAAAGACACCATGCGCGTTTTTTCAAAGAGGACCAAAAAGGCATATTTTTCTCCTCTTCTTCTTTAATATGGACTTATCTGTGTACATAGCATGTATCCTTTGTTTCCGATTATTTTAATGTCACAGGCTCGTTAATTTCTTCACTCTAGGTATCGCTAATCCTCTTCCTGGAACAGTAATTGACACCGATGTTGTGCGAAATGATCTGACCGAATTTTATATGCTGAATCATCGACCTATTCAAGTAAGTGAATTGTGGCTGTCGGCGAATTCAATTATTGATTTGTTGTACATTACAGGGAACTGCAAAAGCTCCTTCTTATCAAGTGATAGTGGACGAAATTGACATGGGGAACGATGAGGTGCAGGCGCTAATGTCGGCTTTAGCCTTCCACCATCAGGTTAACTTTGAAAGCCTACATGTGGCTAATTCAAATGATAGCAGGGGTTTAGATAGTAAACGCACCTGTATCGATTCCGGAGCCAATTTATCAAGCTGACGAGTGGGCAAAACGGGGAAAGGACATATGGAAAGCTTACACGTGAGTGCTTCAGTGGCGTCAGAATCATCTCTAAATTTTGAGGGGTTTTGATAATTTACAAGGCAGGGAGTGAATGGTAGCTTTGCCACATACAATAGATCTTCTTACATTGTGTTTTATGCTTTAACGAATGTCAAGTTTGTCTGGAGAGCCTTCCAAATTTTTCATAAAATTTCTCTGAATTAACAATCGTAGCTACATGTTCACAACAGAGGCTTTCCGCATTTTTTCTAAATAAATTAATGCAGTTTACAAAAGCTAAATTTTGCGGGTAAAGTAATGTTGTGCCAAACACTTTTTTCTAACTATAGTCAGCCGCGGTTTCGACTTCTTTTATTGTAAAGAAACATAAACTTAGCTGTCCTTGTGAAGCGCTAGAATGCAAATGGTTGAACGCCTATCCGCTGCGGAATTCGCTCGAAATTGAAAAGATGAGGAATAAAAAAAGATCTCAATCTTCCTCCTTGTTTTCGACAACATGAAGTTTGGAAAATTTGGGGAGACCTGAACGTGGAGTGGTCA